TATGTCCCCTCTGGTCTAAAGTTGAGCCTTTGACCATATTAAAACACCATATTGTTTACTTGACCATTGTCTACTTTCTTCATAACTGTTGTGTAGGACAGATCTAATTTATGTCTTTTGTCTCAGTGTCCCATCCTGTTTAGGATTTGTCCCAAATTTTTCATTTTTAGTGAAGTAGTCTCATTAATAGTCTCATTAAAACAAGACCCAGTAAGTTTGTAGACCTCCACATTGTACGTCTGACCTCTGCCGTGGTTTTGCTAGGGGCGTTTAACACACAAGTGTAGTCAACAGAGGTTTCATTTTAATATGTGAAGCATTTAAATCGGAAAGACTTTGTCTTTCTTTCTCCAACTTTTTTGAGATGCAGCATCATCTATATTCTCCCTTTCAGAGCAGCATGCAGGGTGTGTGCTGGTAAAATGAAGTGTGATCTCACAAGGCAGTTGGGCAAAGCTAACTCCTTTGCCTTTCCAGTGGTGGTGAGATAAGTGTTTAAGTGTTTCGTGTGCTGGCAACTTGATGTATCAGCGAGTTGTGCCGTGGCCTGTGTGAAGCATCGGTGGATGGGGCTGTCAGTGGATGGACTCAGAGGAACACATGGGAGGTTAGAGGTTGGTTGTAGGTGAACTATGTGCAGGAGTGAGAGACAAAACAGTCCTGCTATGGATCATGAAAGAGAGTGGCCAGAACACTCGCTACAGGAGCTTTGTCATTTATTGTATAGTGTAAATCTAAAACCTATTTATTTTATTATTTGGCAGTTCTCTTTTTATTTTGTTATAAACTCAGCAGTAATAAATCCTTAAAAATGAAAGCGTATATTTAGTGAAGGATGAAGTACTGAATTTCTGCCTCAGTTCTTAACATGCACAAAATGTTTATCAACATTTACCATCCCCCATGAGAGTTGTAGTGCTGTCACTGACCACGCAACAGCAGAAGACGTGTGAAAATCTGCTGAAAACGGGTCAGCATCTATTTAGAAAGTTAGGAGTTTTTTAAAGAAGCCTGTGCCTCAAGATGACAGTGAAATATACACAGGTGCAGAAGATGTTTGCATCTTTCTCTGAAATGTGATCTTATTTAGATCAAATAACTGCTTTAAATTAACTTCGTTCATCTTTTATTCCAAGTTTTCTTTTGCATATTTGAAAAATGAGGCAATATCTGTTAGCGTATTGGCTCCATTAGCAGAAAAAGGACCTAAACAATGCTGATTTTTCAAATAGAAAATCGATTAATTCCAATGATAGTTTGACTTTTCTCACTCAAAGCTTTTGTACATTTGTTCTGTCAGCCCTGTAAATGGAATCAAAGTAAAGCTTTTGGAAGTTTATTCTGTCAAAAATGCTATAAATGCTGTAGTAAACTTAAGAGCCCAACATGAAAGGTAAAATTACTTGTTTTTGCCAAAAGGATGTTGTCATGGAAAAATCAATGTTCTTATTAAATTAAAAAAACTATAGAACAAATATTTTGGGAACTGGTTGTGGTGCATGCAAACCTACACTGCTTGTTCTACCAATTCAAATAAAACTGTAATGGTCAAATTCACTGATATTTGATATCTATAGTTTAACTGAACTGCTGAATTCTTGTGATGAAACTATATTGAAAAAACATACTTCAGCATGATGGCGTGCTCTCTTGTACACAACACTCTTTGCTGCATGTTACCAATAGGGTTTTAGAAATGTGATTTTTTGAAAAACTGCTTTGTAAATTAGCGTAAGTCCCCTATATTGGTGTTTTTTGTTTTGTTTTGTTTTTTTTGCCAGGGGGGTGGGAGTAGAAGGGAGTAAAAGAACCTTCTGCATATTGGCTAGATTTTTATTCAAAATCATTTGGGAATCTTTAAAATGTTCACCAAGTAGAGTGCCAAAACCTTCAGCTTTTGAAAATTTCTGCACATAAGCAGTTCTTGCAAATGAATCTTGCAAACTGGAAGACATTGAAATTTATCCTTATAAAAACAAGGGAAGAACTGAACAAATTAAGTGGTACGAGCTCAAGATTTATTTTAGAAGTTCTGTCATTTGCAGTATCTCAGCTATTGTGAAGACTTTTTTTGATGGAGCTCCTATTTTTAATTGGTTAAGTTTATATTTTATATTAGAATGAAATGAAATTGAGAAGACAGTTGATTTTGCAGTTTCTAAATTTGGTGAAATATTCCAAAAAAAGTATGAGTAGAGAATTATTTTAAAGTTTGTCCCATAAAATAATTATCAAAGTGTCATTGAATGGGGAAAATTGAATGGAGGGGGAAAAGTTAAATATCTGGGCTTGAAATATTTACAGATTTCAACCTAAAAGGATTGAGAATATCCTTCATTCCACAGAATTTTCTCTGCGCTCATCAGATTGTTCAGTACTGTAAAGAGGGTGTTTTCTCCATTAAAAATAGTATGTTTGGGGCCAGCCCCATGGCCCATGGTTAAGTTCACGCGCTCCACTTCGGTGGCCCAGGGTTTCGCTGGTTCAGATCCTGGGCGCAGACATGGCACCGCTCATCAGGCCATGCTCAGGCAGCGTTACACATAGCACAGCCAGAGGCACTCACAGCGGGAGTCTACAGCTGTGTGCTGAGGGGCTTTGGGGAGAAAAATAAAAAAAAAGATTGGCAACAGTTGTTAGCTCACATGCCAATCTTTAAAAAAAAAAAAGTATGATCTATAGAGAAGAGTAAGCTGAAAATGTCAACAATTTCATAATTATTGATCATAATTAAAATTTTGAAGAAGATTATAGACAATCTTATTTTTTTAATAAAACCCTTCAAAATAATAAGACCATGTAAGAATACATTCTTTAGGAAATACCAATGACTTGGTATTAGTAATAGGTACAGCCAAGAAACTAATTGAAGTATGTGAATGTGCAGTGAATTTTCTGCTTATGTTTCTAATGCATCATTGTGTACAGATATGTTTTTATCTTTTAGAAAAAGTTTTATTTTTGAAAAAATATTTTTAGTAGAATTTTTATAAGCTGACCAATATAATAAAACAAACTTTACAGTCAATAAATGCATATTTTAAAAATTACATACTTTTAATTATTCCCTATCTCACTCTCAATAGTGTCTGTTAATATATTGAAATAGTTTAATTTCCTAAAACGTAATTTTGGGGTTCAAAAATATAAGCAAAATGTATCCCTTCACTAGCTCAAAAAAAAATCACTGCAATGAGGAGACATTTTCTTTCTCTGATTTAATTTAGTTGCATATTCTATAATCAAACTTTTATTATTATTATTTTTATTTATTTATTTTTTTTTTTAGGAGGATTAGCCCTGAGGTAACATCTGCTGCCAATCCTCCTCTTTTTGCTGAGGAAGACTGGCCCTGAGCTAACATCCGTGCGCATCTTCCTCTACTTTATATGTAGGACGCCTTGCACAGCATGACTTGCCAAGTGGTGCCATGTCCACACCCGGGTTCCAAACCAGTGAACCCCAGGCTGCTGAGAAGCAGAGCGTGTGAACTTAATGGCTGGGCCATCAGGCCGGCCCAAGTTGCATATTCTAAATCTCAGCACTCAAGTGGGCTTTAGAATTAAGCTAGTTGTCAATTCTCACTCTGCATTTGAGAAAAATAATAGTTAGGTGTATTTCCCAGGTTATCCCAGCAAGTTAGTTATGCAGTCCGGTATACCACACTTCCTTTTAAACTCTATTCCTCATTTGGTAAATATTTTGCTAATTATCTTTAAAAATGAATCGAAAGATTTTCCTTATGTGTAGTTGAACTAGTGTAGTCTAGTAATTAGTGAATAGCAGTTGTTAACCAAATTCAGAATAGTTCTGTTAACATTTTCACTTAGGTTTTATTCCAACTAGGTTAATGCTTTTTAAATACTTTGTTATTGAAAGAAGGTTGCTTTCTATGCAAATCAATTATCTTAGCCAATTATTATTGTAAAAGAGTTGACCACACCGTTCCTGTACTTTGACTTATTGTTCTAGAATTGCCTTTGGCTCTGCCTGAATTGATTGATTTCATTTTGTATCCGTTTCAATGTCTATAAAATGTTCTAATGTAGATATTTATTTTATTCCATATATTATGAATCCTATTTAATTTATAGTTGTATGTGTTAACCTTCTAAATTAAAATTGTGCTTTTTCAATAAAATAACTGGAGTTTAAAATACAAACATATTTTGTTAACATTTCAATTTTAGTTTAATTATTATTAAAATTATCTCAATATATGTTAATGTAGTACATTTAAAAATTGACTTAGAAAATCTTATTACAGTGTAAAAGCTACTATAATAAGTTGTTCCCTTACATAAATAAATAAATGACCAATATTACTAGAGGCTATAAGCAGCATGGGAAAAAAAAATGGAACGAGTCTTTTATCCTAGTTTTTAGAGGGCATCAGCAGCTTGCTTTTATGAAAAAGTAACAGCTAAATGCACTGCAAATAATTTGCAGTAATCCAGTTCAGTGATTCATGTGTCTGCTTTAATGGGTCATAATTCAGGGTGAAGTAACGGAGTGCAGTCAGAGTGCACACTCTGCTTATGCCAGGGACAGTATCTCTTCATAAAGCACACCTCAGGAGAAGCCGCTTGCCAGCCGCCTAATACTCTCTGATGTTTTGATGTCCTGCATATTTTTCCGATTAAGTTTTGAGTGCCATGTTTTTAGTTGTATTTCCACATTCATTATTCTCACGTAGACCCTTCAGCGGGTTTGCCATATATGATTATTTTTTTAATGATGCCTTTCTTTCCACTCCAGCAGTTTAATAATCTAGCACATGGCTGCTTCTCAGTGCTCAGCATTCACCTCCCCAATACTGAAGAGGACATGTGCTTTGGCTTCAAAATTCCATTTGCAGCGTTAGAAATGCATATTCCCTATGGAACAACATTTGTTTGACATAACCATTCATTTTTATTACCTCTTTAAATATGTTTATCCAGAGTTATCAATAATCATAAATAACTGTATTCTCATCTTGTTCTGTTTTTTTCCAACAGACAAAATTGCTTACCCAGTACATATTAAATCTCGGCAAGTATGATCAAAACTACGACATCAGAGACCGTACAAGATTTATTAGGCAGCTTATTGTTCCGAATGAGAAGAGTGGAGCTCTAAGTAAATATGCCAAAAAAATATTCCTAGCACAAAAACCCGCACCACTGCTGGAGTCTCCTTTTAAAGGTATTATTATCAGAATATAACTGCAAAATATATGTTATCTAAAAAATTATGACAATATGTCCCATTCCTGACATGTTTAAAATTTATCTCTTAGAAAATATAAATGATTAGCGTATATAAATATATCAGTGTGCTTTCTACTCATTCATCCATTCTCCAGAGCAAGCTTTATATTAAAGTGTATATTTTTATAGGCCTTATTTACCTAAATAATTTCAATCTTTTGATTTTATTTTTGTTCTCCCTAAGCAGTTTAGCTGAACAATAAATAAAAACTGTGTTGTTCTCAGACGTTGACTTCATTTCTCTTTTAAATAGATAGCTGTATTTAACAAGGAATGTAATTCATCTTAATAGTTGTTATCAATTAAATATTATATATACACTAACACAAACTTTTCTAGAAAGAATTATTTCACAAAAATATCCCTTTATGTTTGATTTTGTTTTTCACAAATGGAAATTGACTTATTTTTACCAGCTTTTTAAAAGGAGTAATTATTTTATCAGCTTAACAAGTAACCAGTATAGTTGAAATCGAATGATTATATACCTTAGTTTTCATGTCGTTTCTTGTTTAATTGTTGTAAACCAATAAAAAGCAGTTCAATTTTGTAGTAAAACTATTAAAATTCTGGCTGTGTTTGTGCCAAGACATGTATATGGATTGTTTAACTGTGCTGTCATTCTTAATATTCACAGTAAAGTAATTTTTAGAGAAGCTACATTTCAAAGCAACACCTCTAAACACACTGACTGATTAGCTTTTTTATTGACCATTATGGGGAGATTATTGTAATCTATGGACTGAAATCAGTTTTTTGACCTATGAAGAGCTTCCTAGTTTATATTTATTCCTTGACATTTGAGGCGATGTGCCAATTACCTCGAGCTCTGATGAGGGTTGTTCTCTGTTACGTACGGCGCATATTGTTTGTTTTATATTTTCCTCCATTTTAATAGATAGGGATCATTTCCAGCTTGGCACTTTATCGCATACTCTCAACGCTAAAGCTGCTGGGTACCTGGAGTTATCTAATTGGCCAGAGGTGGCGCCCGACCCGTCAGTGCGAAATGTAGAAGTGATAGACTTGGTAAGTTGACCTTTCTGAAATTAATTTTGTCAAGCCGTGGGAGATTCTAGAACAACTATTGTTTAATATAAAACCTTTTTTGGAAGATTGAGAATTGAAAATTGTTCCGGTATTTCTAAACGTAATGTGTTGGATGTGTCTCACTATTATGGGAACTAAACATTGTAGTATTACTATGCCATTGGACGTGTACTGTTCCTTTGCTTCAAGGAAATAGAGAATTGAATTCTCTGCATCGGTGCCACCCACATTTGTGGTACTGCATTTGTATCTGTGTAGATTCAATTTCTAGGGTACTTAGTTTCATAGGATTGAGCTTTTTCTATTACATTTAGAGATTTGTAAGCTTCCTGTCAATATTTTTCTATGTAATTTTTGCTGTTCTTTTCCAGAAAAACCGTACAAAGTGTTCTTCTGGATTTTCTGGTGGACCTGTTTTAAGTGAAGGCTACACATAAATAGGGAGCATTGTCTACCAAAAATCTCCTTAGACAGGGTCACAATTAAAATGAATAATACATTGCTTTCACATTAAAAACAGAAAACTCTATGGAAATCTAGAGAAGTAGTATATCAACAAGAAAAGTGGAGAGGGGTCTTCTGATTGTCTTTAGAGATTGATTATGTGAAATATATTCAGTACTTTTTTAAATAGAATTAATTAAAAAAACAATTAGATATTACATTCTGGATGCTTTTTTGGTAGAAAAGAGATATTGAACTAGGATCCAGATAACCAGAGTTCTTTACCACTAATTCCTATGGGAAAGTCAGTTAACCTCCTTGCCTATTAGCTTTTCCATATACAATGGAAGAAAATCTTTATTACTTTAAATAGAAGAATTTCTATAATGGGCGTAGCCATGTAATTTGATCCTCTTAAGAAATATGTTTCTCCTAACTGCTCAAACTTATCCTGGCTTTTGGAGCATGGCCGGAAGCAATAATAACTAACGAATGGCTTCATTTAGCAAACTCCGGCAGTGTACTTTGATAATGCTTCTCAAACATTGTCTTGTTTAAACCTCATAATGATTATAAGTGATAGTTATTGTTATTCCCATTTTGCAGATAAGGAAGCTGAGGTTCAGAGAACCTGAGTAAATTGCCCAAGGTCACACAGCTAGTAGGTGATGGAACTCGGATTCCAACACCAGATCTGTCTGAATCTGTTGTTCATGCTCTTTGTTATTGCATTTTATTATGGAACACGAGGAGAGGAAGTTTGAGCTTGTTTGCAGATCTGTACTATCCTTAGTACTCAGCACCATCATTTTCATGTTGTGACAAATTATCTCTATTTAGAGATGATTTTTTAAAATGTGAAAGTTATTAAAACTAATCGCATATCTCTTTCTCCTTGCAAATAATTTTGTTGATTTTCGCTCAAATCTACATACTCTTAAGTACTCTTCAAAAAGATTGGCTTGTTTGTGGAACTTTTGGTCAGATGCTGGAATACAAAGAGAATGTTCTTTGTTGTGATTCTTTCCCCAGATGTACTCTCTCTCCTAATTTCTTATTATGCCTGTTGGTTGTTTTTATGGTTCCGTCCTTTTTCATTATTGGGTACATAATGTTTTGGCCCCAGTAGAACCATCCTTTTATCCTCCCACCACGTCCACCCTGCCCCTCCTCCTTGCTGCCCCATTCCACCAAAAGACATAAAATAAAAATAGTTTATCTTCTCAGAAATTGAGAGCAATGCTACGCAATTTAATTTGTTCTCAGCAGTACCCTTATATTGGCTGATAGATTGGTTGGCTGGCTGGCTTCTTCCATTTTCATGTGCTCTTTTAAGCATTAACTACCTTATAGGGACAGTACTTAAATAACCTATTTTCTTATGTTCATTTCACCTGTCTAGTTCAACAGAGACAAATTGATTTCTTTTTCATTTTGCTGACTACCTTCTGGAAATTAATAATTGTTAACTTATTATGGAGAATAATTATAACTGATGGAACCCAGTTGAGGAAAACTGTCACTATCCATTGATGCCATGCAGAAAATAATTTCAATCTATCGGTCTCTGGACATACTGGCTTAGAATTATACCGTAAGAGATACAATTAAATATAAAAATAATGTACATAGTTTTATTATCTAATGCATCTTCAACAGTGCAGAAAGTCGTGTTCATACAGCCTTTCTGGCCTCTCCCTGTACCTCACCCCCCTCCAAAGTCACATTAATGTGTTTCATGTACATAATACACTGTGTTATCCTAGTTTTACTATAAAGTGATCTTACAGGGTCCCATCTCATTACTATGAAATATAACTTAGTAAGAAAAATGGCCTTGGTTTAGATAATCTGATATTTTAATCAAAACAACAGGAAACCTGGTCATATTGACACTAGAAGTCACTTTGAATTACACACTACCATTTCCAGGATATCAGATATAATGTGTGTTTATATTATGATAGCAGTAAGTTTTGGAGATCCTTTAGAATCTTTTTTGCTTAGTTTTAGAAAATCCTTTTCTCCTCAGATGCAGAAAGACTATCTTTTGCATATCAAGGGTATTTTGCTTTATAAACACATCTACTATCAATATTTTCTCCCTCATAGGAGCTTTCAAATTAGTGTTTCACTATTCTTTTCCTCTTCTTTTCCCTGTTATTCTTTTGTTTAGAATTATGTAATTATCATAGTGATAAAAGACCATAACAAAAATTAAAATATTTTTATTGTTAGTCTTTGCCTTTTGAAACCTAAAACTCCATGAATAGAGTCCATGGCCATGTCAAGAGAATTTGCCCCTTTGAACATAGAAGCCTAATTTTCCTTATTGATTTAGTGTTACTCTGAAAGCCATAGTGTGGTTAAGTAATTTTTTCCGTGCAGTCATCTGACATAGTTTTTTATCAGACGTCAGAAAAATATATTTGTTTAGATGTAAGAAAAATATGAACTTCAATATCTACTAAATATAAGAGAACTTGGTTTATAGAATACTAGCTTTATTCATATTTGGAGGGCAGAGCATTTAAAATTTATATAAAAGGAAAGCAGTCCTGCTGATCTTATGTAAGTATCTTATTCAAATATATTCACCTAACTTTTACTCATTTTTATATTATTGTCTAGATAGCAATTTTCCAGGTTACTGAAGCTTATCTTTTTAAGCAACATACATTAAGCCCTGAAGCCCTCTAGACCGGTGGTTTTCAACCCTAGCTGCACACTGTAATCGTGGAGATCTTTAAACAAAACAAACCTATGTCAGGCCTGCACCACACCAATTAAATCAGAATCTTAGGAGGGGAATCCCAGGCATTATCTTTTTAGTATTAGTATTTTTATTGTTTGTATTTGTATTTTAAAAAATATTCTCAGGCGATTCTGACGTGCATCCCGTGCTGAGAACCATTCTTGAGTAAGAACCTCCGTCATGCGGTAAATTCCTTTACAACAAATAGCAAAGCGGCATGCAGCAGAAACTCAGTTAGCAGTGTGATAACTACATGAGTCAACCATTTTTGACCTTTTAAAAAGTGTACCTTTCCCTCCCTTTAAAAGAGAATATATGAAACAGGATTTAATTTTTTCTTGGTGAGTCAGGTCACCATTATGAAAACAATTTATTTTACTTTAATACACTGTATTAATACACTTTACTACAATTTATTTTACTTTAATACACTGTATTAAAGTCTTTAAGGAGCTTTTCACACAACTGGTAATTATTGTGCCAGACACTCTTGAGATAGATGAGTGTACAAAATGTTTAAAAATGCCTGCTCTCCGGAACCTGACCTTCTGGCAGAGACAGACTGACACTAAAAATAAGTATATGAATTATATAGTATGTTACAGAGTAACAAGTGCTGTGATGAAAAACAAGATTAGAGCAAAGCAGGATCAAAAGTGCCCCGCATGGGAGGTTGGAATTTAAATAGAGTGGTCTCCCTGAGGTGACGCTGTGTGGACTTGAAGGAAGTGAGGGAGTGAGCCATGCCGTCCTCTGGGGGACAGTGCGGGGAGTGGGAACACCTGGGAGAGGGCCCTAAGGTGGGAGCACGCCTGGGGGGTTTGAAGGAACAGTACCGAGTGGCTGGAGCAGGGGGCAGGAGGGAGAGCGGCAGCAGGAGGCCGGAGAGGCATGGGGGAGGCCGGGGAGGCCCCGGGGAGGCAGGGTCAAGGTGGGTGGAGCAGCAGACTGGTAAGGACTTAGGCTTGTTCTCTGAGTGAAATGGGGAGCTGTGGCAGGTTCCAACCAAAGAGGGGCTCGATCAGACTTTGTTTCTAGTAGAATCATTCCAGTTGCTGTGTTGAGCACACTTGGAGTGGGGCTGAGGGGTGGGAGAGAAGCAAGAAACCAGTTAGGAAACGGGCAGTAATCCAGGAGCAAGATGGCCCTGACCAAGGAGGTAAAGGACCAAGGTGGCTGAAGGCTTTCTTGATGCATTAGAGGTTTGGGTCAGGACAGAAAGAGAGAAGTCAAGGATTACCCAAGGGGTTAGGCTGTTGAAATGGTTAGGGTTATTTCATCCTACTCTAACTATTTTCTTTTTTTCTTTTACTTCAGTATTTTTCTTTTACCTCAGCTGTGAACGCGCATTTCTGATTGCTGTTATTGTCTACCTCTAATTGCCCTCACTTCTTCTAGACTCTATTATTTCAGTTTAAATCTTCTATAGACCAACAAATACAAAAGTGTTTAAAATTGTGTGTATTACAAGGTTGTTGATTTAACGTAATAGGCTCTGAGTGTTTGTGTCCCTCTATTTGGGAGTGAAGGGGACTCAGCCTGAATGCCAGGACTTCTGACAGTTGCCTTCTCTCTTTTTTTTGAGGAAGATTAGCCTTGAGCTAACAGCTGCCAATCTTCCTCTTTTTGCTGAGGAAGACTGGCCTTGAGCTAAAATCCATACCCATCTTCCTCTGCTCTATACGTGGGACACCTACCACAGCATGGCTGCCAAGCGGTGCCATGTCCACACCCGGGATCCGAACCAGCGAACCCTGGGCCACCGAGAAGCGAAACACGCAAACTTAACTGCTGCGCCACTGGGCCGGCCCTGCCTTCTCTCTTGAGGCCTTAAACTTTCTTCTGGGTTCACAGTGTATTCTGAGTGAGTTTTCCAGAAGACGGAATCCCTTCATCAGAATTTGTTTATATTTACATTTTTACGATTTTTTTTAAACAGGCAAAAGAATGGACTCCAGCAGGAAAAGCAAAGAATGAGAATCCTACTAAGAAATTTTACTCTGAGTCTGAGGAGGAAGAGGACTCTTCTGACAGCAGCAGTGACAGTGGTGGGTTTATAATTTATTGAAAAACATTGGTCACTATAGCCTACATGTTATGCCTCCAGCAAAACGATGAGACCTAGTTCATAATATTCAACAAGTGGGTTTAAATAAATTTTGTACTATTATAATAGTCCTTTTCATTTACATGTCACCGATTAGTTTTCAAAGTAATGTCTAATCCCTTCTCATTTGGAATTGCCTCTTGAACACAGCTAATAAACGTTAGAGTTGGAAGTCATGCCTTTCTGAATTCTAACCCACACTGCCTGTTATATTCATTAGTGTATTAAAAAACATGGGTTTACATTTGATAAGCCTTTAGTGGGGCCTTTAAAGTTACTTTGTTTTGAGCCAGCCCTGATGGCCTAGTGGTTAAAGTTGGGCGCTTTCGCTGCTTCGGTGGCCTGAGTTCATGTCCCTGGTGTGGAACCACAACACCTGTCTGGTCGTCGCCATGCTATGGTTGAGGCTCACATGGAAAAACCAGAAGGGCTTAGAACTAGGATATACAACCACGCACTGGGGCTTTGGGGAGTTAAAAAAAGAGGAAGATTGCCAACAATTGTTAGCTCAGGGTGAATCTTTCCCTGTTAAAAAAAAAAAAAAGTAACTTTGTTTTGTAAAAATGTGAAGTTTATTTTAAACATTGAGCAATCTGTTCCTCATCTATTTTATACTCTTCTATTTCTACATGAACCTTTATAGAGAGAAAGCTAAAATTAATAAATCTCTCGGATATTATAAAGAAACACAGAACGGAAAAGATTGAGGGCTACCATATACAGTGAGAAGAATGCTAACTGGGAGGGATGTAGAAATGCTGGGTTTGAGCTATGCAGGTTGAACAAGGTGCTTTCCTTTCTCTGCATCTGATCAGTGGAGGGGTAGAGTTAGGTGCTCTTTAGGTCCCTTCAGTACCAACACTCTGTGAGTGATTTCCTTAATGAAAAGCGTATTGGAGTCACTTTCAAGCACTCTGATTAACAGTTAACCTAATAGATCCATCTCTGACCCAAGATCAAATGAATCTCTTTCTTTTAAAACTTTCATTCCTGGGGAGCCGGGGCCCTTGACCATTACTTGGTCCTCTACCTTAGGTAATTCATGTTTACCTGTTTCTCCTATCAAAATCTTCGTTTTCAGTATCTGATAGATTAAACTGCACTGCATTAACTTCTGAAGGAATAGGGTGAAAAGTGGAGAAAATACTTCAATCCAGAGAGTTAATGATAAAAAATATGGAATTTCAGAATTATTGTAGACCGTTGAGAAAGATCTGTTTGTACAGTTACAAGTGTACCATGTGGATATTTGTCTCTATCCCATTTATGCGTGAACTCGTGCCTGTTCGTAGGCTAAGCTTTTTCAGGATGTATTTGAAATATTGCATTACCATGAAGAGTTGATGGGTTCTCTGAGTACGTGCAGCAGTGCGTCATGTGGCAGGAGCGCAGAGGAAGATAGCTTTTCTCATTAGAAGTTATGAGATGGTTTTCCCAGTGAGCAGGTCTTTTTGAGAATAAACAAATTTCCTCAAGGATTTTACTAACTTGAAAATTTAAATAGTGGTATCTGAAGTGAACTGGACCCACTCAGCCATGGGGCTGGCCCCACATAATTTCTACATGAAACATTTAAATGTATAACTCCTCAGTGTAACTTTATCATCTCTTTGACCTATGGAAAACTCCTATACCAGCTAAAATAAGTAATAATTTTTTAATTGTTAATTTTGCTTATTGCCTTTGACTTTAGAAATTTTTGGAGATGATTTGAATGAGTCATTTCCCTTTCAAAATTTGTTCCTAAGAAGATTTGACTGTTGCCTTCCTCTTTTCTAAATAAGATTTCCCATTTTCAGTAGAGGAATTAAAAATTATTTCTTTATCCTTACATCATCCTTATGTCATTCTTAAAGCAGTTTTGGCCATAGCTAGATTCTTATGGGTTTGAAAAGCGAGATTCTCTCAAATTTGGGTTACTTGGGTCATCTTTCCTTTGCTTTTGCCTACTCATTCGTTATCCGGGTGCCTCCTCTGTCCTCAGGAGTCCCTCCGCGCCCCCTACCCCGGGGCTGCCGAGGCCTGAGTGCCAGAGCGCAGACGGAGAAGGTGTTGAGTAACGGGGTCCACTGAACTAGAACTCAGCACCTGGTTCATTTGTGGTGGATACTGACGTTGCTTGTGTCCTTCTGTAGAATTAAATGGCTATAAAGTGAAGAGCATCTGGTTATACTTTTCAGGGAGCGAATCTGGAAGTGAAAGTGGAGAAGAGGACGAGGAAGGGGACAGCAGTGAGGACAGCAGCGAGGACTCCTCCAGCGAGCCCGAGAGTGAGAGTGGACATCAGTCAGACACGGAAAACAGAAGAGCGGCCAAGAGGAACTCCAAAACCAAAGGAAAAGGGTAAACTCTTTTGTCAGAATTTCCTTCGGTAAATATTCTGTGATATTTTCCCCCAAGCTAACATTTCCCTTTAATTCATAGAGTGAGTGAGAAAAAGTGTGTATTTTTTCCTAAACAGGTATTAAATCTTGTAAAATTAATTTAAAATACTAGTTCATGTTATTCTCCTACTTCTAATGCTTAGTTTTCATTTTGAACTTGAACAAGTCTTGGAGTTACATTTTGAAAATTGGTGTAACCTTGGAAGGCTGAGTTAAGTGATCAAGCAGTAGGTATGAAACACTTAATTACCTTTTGTAGCAATTTTGCTGAGGGCTAAAATTAAATCCTTCAACACTTTGCCATTATGTAACTAAGACAATTGATTTTTCTAAATAATGTTATATTAAAAAGATTATGATTCAAATATTAGAGTCAAGAGCTGTGAAGGAAGACGGTCACGAGATATCTACGTGTTAGCGCTTTTTAAGATCTCCCATTATCAACAACATTATCGTGTATTAAAGTGTCATTAAAATCCTGAGTAATTGGGGCTAATACCTTAGATTGTCTGAGTCTGTTTCCCCCGCTGCTGTCAGTGAGTGGCCTCTGCAGACATGATGGCCCTTTCCCCGGGAGCCTGCTGCCCGCTCCCTTGATGAGCTTGCAGCCCAGCTCAGTCGTGGCTGACAGCACTGATTGGGGCGCCGTACGCTCTCTGCTCCTTTTATTACAGACAGTAATTAAAGCAGCTCGCCCTGCCACTTCCATAACAAACACAGCATAATGCCCTAATTATGACTTTATTAATTTAAGTCAGGATTTAATGATTTTAAAAGTGATTTATATTGTTTTTCCTGTTCAGAACAAATGAAATCTGTAGGTTAAATTAATACAGGCTTTTCATCATTGCAAAGTTAAAAAGCTAGTTACCAGTAAATTCTTTTCATTAGATTAACATCTGAAACTCTAAGCAGTAAGGTAAACAGTAATTACCCATCAAAATTGAGTGATACATAACAAAATAACACTTTTACCTTTAAAATCTTATCTTGAAAGCTAGAAGTTAAATATACTCAGAATCGTTTACTTGTTGCAGCAGAGGAGTTACTTGGTTTGTAATAACCTTTTCTTTGAGAGAAATTAAACTTCTGGTTTCATATCAGAATATCTATGATTACATAGTTTATAAAAAGCATCTTATTTCTAGGGAGGGAAGGTTTTGTTCAGTGCGCTGCATATCCTTTCAGATGGCAAAAGTCCGTATGCTGGAAATTTATAATCATGTATTAGTTTCATTATTGTTTTTCTTCAGAAGTGGACTTTTCTCTTTACCCCTGTTTGAATTGAAAAGAATTGTTTATTACACCAAAGGGAATCTCAGATACATTCTAAACCTTATGTTTTTAAGTACATGTTTTAACTGCTGAATTGGGGATAATAAATTGCCATTCTTTGCTAGGGAAAAGAACGACGGCATATTTTTGTGTCATCAAATATAATTGCATGTGCTCTGAGATGTTACCATGACTCCATCTTTAATAAACAGCAATCGTATTTCCTCCACAAAAATCAATTCTAGGAAATATCGATTCTTCCCTTGCCTCTCCATTCTCCCTCCCCCCATTTTTTTCTGCCTATCAGAGTTTTTTTTAAACTTTGCTGGTATAACTGTATGATAATTTTTTAAAAGTCCAAGGAGCTTTAAGTATCTTTAAAAGCACCCCTTAGAAATCGTAACTGTTTATGACTAAATTGAGTTTTGTACTCCGAAGTATTTTCCTTTGAAGGGAGACAGTATGGTGTAGTGGGAAAATCTGATGTTTTGAGTAAGACAGACTTGAATTCAAATTCCAATTCTGCCCCTCCTGACTGTGTGTCCTTGAGCAAGTTCCTTAACTTTCCTGAATATTATAGGATAATAATGCACCCAGTAAGACTATGTTGGAACATTAGATAAATTAGATAATTGCTATGAAGTGCCTGACACTGCCTGGCACAAGATAGATTCTTAGAACAGGACACACGCACAGAGACACATGCACGCACGCATACGCACACACACATGGTAAAGAGAACTGAACCTTCAGTTTTGAGAAAAGGCCACCAGGCATCTCCTCTGGCTGTCTCACGTGTTATTCCTTCCCCTTGGAGACCCTCCCCCCTGCCCTTCTGCCTGCCTTATTCCTGTTTCCCGACTTAGTGTCTCTTCCTCCAGGAAGCATCCCCAACCTTGGTACATTTGTTTAGATGCTCCTCCAAATGTTCTCATGACACACTGTACTTTATAATTTATTCCTTAACCATACTTTACTGTCCCTGCCGCCTTCCTTCCCTGTGTCCTCCCGGGCACTGTCGACTCTGTGAGGGAGGCCTGTGGAGATCATCTGTGTCTCACAGCCAGTGTTATCCTCAGCACCTAAGGTAGTGCCAGCACTTGGTGGGCAACCAGTAAATATTTGTTGAATGAGGGGGTGAGTTACACACGGCGTCAACACTTAGGTGTGATCGCTTGGTATTTTAAAGTTTATGTTGATTATCTTACATTTTTAGTAAGACAGTACATTCAAAGAATTCTCTTTTGAGCTGGTTAACATTTTCTCATATAATATGTTTAAGGGTCACATTTGGGAACACGTGTTAAGTAATTTTCTGGGACATAAAAATCTGTAAAATGCAAGTCTATTTTAGCAAAAGTAGATGTATAAATATTTAAATTTATTAATGAACATTTAGTATTTTTGAGACAGCATTTTAAAATCTGCCTAGGTGTCTTTGAAGTTGTTGCTGTTAGCACCTAATGTATATTCCTGGTAACTCAAACATTTAATTATTAATTATTTTCTACTTATGATATCATTTAGTGGTATTTTATGACTTTTGCATTTGAGGTATGTGATGTGGTGTTCGTTTTGAGTGTGTTCTGATTTATTTGGTTATGGCTAATACTACTTTATTATTATTTCATTAATATGTTCTAGAATTTTAAAACCATTTTTATTGTCTTTATGTATCCGAAAGAGGAAATGATTCTCGGTGAAATGCACTTCTAGGAAAGGTTCTGATGCATAGGCAAGATGGACAAATGGCGATGTTTGCCATTTGATTTTTTAAACTACTTAGACTTGTTTATATATAGTATTTAAAGTTGATATTTCAAAAATTTTTATTATGCGTAGTGATTCTAAAGATGGGAAGAAGGAAAATGAAAAATCTAAAACTTCAGATTCTTCCAATGCCGAGTCCAGTTCAGTGGAAGAAAGTTCTTCAGATTCTGAGTCAGAGTCAGAATCTGAAAGTGAATCTGAATCCAGAAAAGTCACCAAGGTAAGAGATTACACATTTCTTATAATTGGAAGTAAATATTCTTAGAGCCTTTTCCCAATTAAGAGTAAATATTTCTGAAATTGAGTATTTTGTTGACAATCAAGAAACTAAGAAAGGAATTTAACATTGTCACTGACATCTAAAATAAACACCATCTTCATTCATCCACACCTGTGGTTTTATTTTATTTTTTCTGATAATCACTTCCTTTATAACTCAACCCTACCGGGAAGTTAGAAACTTTTTTGAACCTGTCCTTTGCCACTGAAATTCGAGAGCTCAGTGTTAAGAGTATGGCCTTTTTTGTTCTTGGCTAGCATGTGACAAGGGAGGCTTTTGCCAAAGGGGGAGTAAAAGGATGTCACAGAAATAGTATTGAGCAAAGGAATATAAATGCACCTGCTTCATCAGAAATCTAGAGTAATATGCTTTTTAAAATTATTTGGCATTTTTGATAATAGAATATTTTAAAAGGTTTAATTAAAGTGTATACATTCTTTAACTAGTTAATAAGAATGCAATAGCCGTGTATTTAAAAAGAAATGCAAGAACCGCTTGTGTAATAGAAGGATAATGCTTGTTATAATATTTGTAACACTGAAACTTGTCTGCTTAGCAGCAAAAAACAAAAGTATAAATTGCAAAAATGTAGTTACTAATATAAAATTCGAATCTAATACCTATGGTTATTACTTCCTTCCTGTAAATGGGTCATGTGGATGCTAGGCTTCAAATGCAGTAGTTTTTATAAATAAACTGTATTATTGCACATGTTGAAAATACAGTTACACCTTGTCTTTTGTTGAATTCAGTTTCTTTTTAACCTAATATTTTTTTCATTTATTTGTTCTATCAACTTGGATTTCTTTAATAAGTCATCTGAGTAGCCAAGGATGAAAATGAATTCATTGAAGTAGGTAATTGCCCTCCCCCATCCAGGGATTTATTGTTAAAGAACAAGCATATTAAAAAAAAGAGTAAAGAACAAACACCTTAAAACCTGGCTAGTATTTGTCTCACCTTATTTTAAATATTCTTGCGTAGAGTAAAACTTATTTTAAACTTGAATTTATATTTAAAACTTGTGTCTATCTATAGTGTATAATCTAAGGTTTCTATTTTTCAAAAATTCACATAAAAATCTTAGAAATTTTTAGGTTTATTAATTTGACCTCTCATAAAAACTTAACACATAGTGAATTTGATATCATCTCATTTCCTACTTGTGTTAAATTACAAAAAAAATTTAAGATGTATTTAAAATAAAGGAGCTTTGGAAATTGACGCTAAGTGCAACCCAGAATAAGAAATCAGTGTTTTTAAAAATGACTAAACAAGAAATCAATGAATGTCAAGTGAGTGGAATTAAAGTGAGTTATTCTTACTAAGTTTTCTAAAAGTTGAAAAGTTGTCGACTTTAGTGCGTATATAGTATTAGAAGCAGCGCTTTAGGACCCCAGTAAAAAACCACAGGGGTTCCCCAGATCAGCGGTTCCGTTTGTTTCTTCTTTGTTAAAAACTTCCAATTATCAGATTAAATCTCTTAATAATTGAAAATATTTTACTGTAGAACATCAGTATAAAATTTCAAAGTATTGCAATGAACCAAGACTCTTAAGAAATTCAGGTTTTACATTGTTGATAGTTTAGTGTATGTGTTTTGTTTGTATGTCTTGTTTTCTCTATAGTAGAATGCCTTTCCTGTCTGTAATAGGCAGGTACGATTGTTTGTTTTAATTTATCACTTGGGATAGTCTCCACCTTGGAGCCACCATATCTATGTTTTTCTTTCTCTTTCTCTCTGAGTGATTTGGAGTGTGCCATGAAACTATAAGTGTACCAATTTTCTAATAATGGGCAACTCCGTAATGGTAGAAAAGTCCTCCTTGCACCAAGTATTGTGGCTTCTGCTCTAAATTATGAGTAATGAAGGCAGATGGTGGGTGCTTTACCTTAATTTAGCATGATAGTATGTTAGTGCTGGAAATTCATATGCCTTAAATCTGCAGCCCAACCACATCTGTACTTGAGTTACTCTTTTTCTTCCTTTTCTTTCATTTGGACAATATTTTTGTTTTGGGGGTATTGTGCATGAAAATTAGACCTTGGAGGTACCTTGAATGAATGGCTTTGAAAACAGTTCATTTTATGGTGGTCCTATGAGATAGGTATAGTGTTCAACTTGTTGGAAGATAGTATCTTTATGCTTCAGTTTCCTCATCTATAAAGTAGAAATGCTAATAGCTACTCTGTTTCTTTAAGTGCTTTTATAGAAAATCAAATGTGAAAGATCAATATAAAGTACTATATAAATATAAAACAGCAGTGTTAACATTTTTTAACTTGAACGTTAATTCCTTGAGAGACCAACAACATTAGATTTATAGAACACCAATTCTAAAAGGAACTGAAAATTTTATGTAACTTATGTCTCCTGCATTTCTTCCGACTCTTTTTATACCATTCAAGTCATAAGTGAATGTTCAGGTATGACCCTTCACCTGCAGCCTGTGATCTCATCCACTGTCTGCAGAAGACTCAGCTGCCCTCCACTGTGAGCCTCTCCGGCTTCTCTCTGCTCTCCGATGCACAATCTCTATTTACCTTCCTTTTTCTTTGACTGTGGCTCTGAGTAAGTGATCCCTGTCCACTTAGTCAAGAATAAGGCCTCCTTCCTTTTGGCCTTGATCTGCTGATAATCATCTGCCTCCTTTGCACCTTCAGTGTTGCTCCACTAATGCCTCCTCTGCCAACCAAAGCACTCAAGTCTTCCCAGCATTTAGAGAGCGAGAGGGAGGAGGGAGTGGAAGAGAGAGTGTGTGGCAGTGAGAGTTTAGAATAATAATCTAGATATGCTCCATCCACTACCTTTTACCCCAGTTATTTCTTAGTCCCTTTTAGATTGGTTTCCACTCCTGTCGCTTCCTACAGGCGTTGCTCTCTGAAAAGTCAACCATGATCTTTCCCCAAACCCAGCGGCCTTCTCTTAGTGATTATCCTTCTTGATCTCTTTATGTGACTGTTTCCCTGCTGCTTGAAACTCTCTGCATCCCTTTTTGCTGACTTCTTTAACCTTTCAGTCTTTTGGTTGCTTCACTTTTTACCCATTTCTGACGCCCAAGTGTGAACATTGCCCTGAAATTAGTGCTTAGTACACATTATTTTTTCAAAAATATTAACTGATGTGAATTAATTTATTTTCAGTCCTCCCTTTTTGCTCTGTTTTTCCTGCCGTGAGACTCATTCGTTCCTCTAGCTTCAGCTAAACCCTTTATGTGAGTTACTTCCATAACTACATCTCCAAATCCCTATAACAGCTCTAAGTGCTTTTCCCAAATTCAGACCAAGTTCTTAGACCTCGCAGGGGCGACTGGTTTCCCAAACCTAAGAGAGCCGGAAGAAGACATGCTCTACCATTGGGTACCAGCGTTCTTTCTCCTCTCCCACATCTGTAGCCCCACAATCGTCTTTTTCTCCTCCCTCATCCTGTACATTTACACAGTGCATGTTCTGTGTATTATTTCTCATATCTGTTTCTTTTCCTACCACCACCGTTCTAGATCAGCTCTTAATACCTCACTCACAGACCATTGCCTTTGGTTATCCTCAGACGCTTCTCTAAGCCCAGTACCTCTATACATCTGCCAGATTAATGTTCAGGTTACCTATAATGATATGGCCACTTGAGTTCAGTAGACTCCTCAGGCAGGCATGGCCAAACCTATCTTTGCAGTCTTAACCCCTTTCTGGTTCCCTATGTTCTAACCCCAGTGGACTGTTTATGGTTCTCTTAACATGCTGAATGCGTTCCCATTTCCATGCCTTTGTTTTTGCATCATTTCTCTGATTACAGAAAATGCAAGCTAAGGAGAAAGTGGCCTTATATCAGAAGGTGGTCCCTCCACTTCTTCTAGTTGAGAATGACTGCATGGAATGAAAAATGGTACGGATGAGAGGGTATTACTCATGTGAATGGTGTAGGGACAGTCAAAAGAGTGAGAACCAGTGGTGAATTGTTTATGTTCCTGGAGTATTTGTCGTTCAACACCATGCCCCAGCGTATCCATAAGACACAAAGCTATAGTCATACATTCTGTTGTCATATTTGTTTGATTGTATTATTGATTGGGAGATGTCCTCATTTGAGATCAGATATTGTCAATAATAACCAAAGAAAATTATCTTGTTCTTCAGTTACAGATATGTTGATGGACAAGCATATTTTTCTTTGTGAGTGTTCTTTTCTGAAATGTATTAAATAGAGAAATATTTTAATTTGTCTAATCCTTTTTATGAAATAATTCTTTGCCCCAAATAATATCTATAACAAAATTTCTTATAGTTCCATATTTTAAGTGCTTTCACAGACTTTACATAGTGTAAAGGGAAACTATTTTTTCCACACAGAAGAGTGGAAAGAGAAATCAGTAACGTAGACCACATTGTATCAGGAAGAGATTCACATTTATATCACTTTATCCTATTTTTTGCTGATATAATTAAGTTATATTCTGTTTGTAGTTAAAATTATGTGTTGAACAGATGGTGACAATTCTATTTAAAATAATGTTTTTTAAAAAGTTGCCAGGGCTTTTTTTCCCCTTTTTGAACCTCGGCTTCAGTGTTTTATAAGTAGCCAGTATAGTAGATGCTCCTATATACTATAATTATCTCCTCTGGCACCTTGTTAGTCCCCTGTTCACACTTTAACTGTGATACAGGAGTTCTGATGATATCTTTCGTGTCTATGCACCAACTGCTGAAGATTGAGATAATCTATGGTTTAAATGATAAAGATTTAAAATCATGATTATAATTTATTGTGAATAACTTTTATATATTTGCCTTGTAAATATTAACAACATTTTAATTATGTAAACTGTATAAAGCATAATAATATGTCAATGGGAAATAAATATATATATATATAGGTTTTTTTGTTGAGGAAGATTAGCCCTGAGCTAACATCTGCTGCCAATCCTCCTCTTTTTGCTGAGGAAGACTAGCCCTGAGCTAATATCCGTGCCCATCTTTCTCTACTTTATATGTGGGACGCCTGCCACAGCATGGCTTGCCAAGTGGTGCCATGTCCACACCCGGGATCCAAACCGGCGAACCCCAGGCCACCAAAGCAGAATGTGCAAACTTAACCGCTGCACCACCAAGCTGGCCCCGGAAATAGATATATTTAACATACTTGCACTTAACATTTACTATTAAGAACATTTTCATATTTGAATCAAAATAAAGATTAATGTGTCTGCTGGCTGTGAAAGTAAGTATACGTAGCAGTGTATGCATGGATCCATGTGTACGTAGCAGTGTTCGAAATGCTTTTGTGAGTTACCTTCATCACAGGTTATAGGGATCTCATAAAACTTTGCTGATCCCTTTTTGAGAGGTGCAAAAAACTAATTAAATCTCTTAAGTGCTCTATGGACCTGTCACTGGTACTGTGACTAGTGTCCAGATATCAGTAAATGTTAATATTTGCCTTAATAAAATATCTACCTTGTGAAAGATTCTTGGAGATAAAGTAAATTTGTCATATGGTATGAAATAGATCATGGATAGGAGTAAAAGGAATTATTTTCCAATTCCAACAGTAGAAGGAAATATTTCCTTATTGAAGAAATAGGAAACAAGTTTTACTTGTGTTTTATCGGTGTTTATATATGTTACAATTACATAACTTCTGTGAATATTGTAGAATATTGCTTTTTACTCTGACAATTCAAAGCCTTGCCTCTTTCAATTTATGTCTTTCCCAATTTAGTTCATATTTTAAGTTCTCCAGAATGGAAATATCATTTCACTTCAATTGAGATCTTTAAATCAAGGTGAATGCCGTTAAGCAAGCTTTCTTATTGAAGTAGGTGTAATCCAATAGGGAAGATTTGTTTAACAGTTTAGACGTCCTTTTAACTTATAAGGAAGTCTTAATTTACTGGCAATGTACTTTTGTTTTAAAGCATAGTATAAGTGTGAGCCTTAGATTTTTTAAAATCAAATTTGTTAGATAACTTGAAGGCAAGAGAGTCATTAAATTGTCCTTGGTTGGTAGTTCTAATTGAAAATATTTCATGTAAATATCTTGCCCTGTGAGGATAGAATTAGCCTTGAATTTTTGTTGATTTCAAAGCACAGTATGAGTTTGACAAACTTTACATACTGCTTATTCTGTTTTATGCTTTTCAGTTTCCAAACCTCTTTGCAATGGTTTCCTCCTAGGAAGCATATTTGGTTCTTGTCGTGACAGATCTTTTTTCCTACTTGCTTTTTTTTTTAATCAGCATGAAAATGAACGTGCATAATACATTTAAAAAATCTTTACAGATTTATTATTAAATATTTTTGTTTGTATTATTTGGAGCTTAATATGTATTTCCAGGATCTTTTATTTATTATTTGAAATGAAGTATATTAAGTAGAAATCAGTTTCTTAACCCTGTGACTTTGTATTTCATTTTGAAAATGTTGATGTATTGAGGTGTATAATCGAATACCCTAGAAACAAAATGGAGATTTGAGGATGATGAATTGATAACTAGGTATTTTTGTAGTGAGATTTTAAGATCAGTCACTGTTGTCCTTATAAAAGTCTAATACAGTCACTCAGCTGTTAAAAACCTAATCCTCTATTTAAAAAAATATACAAAAACAAATTGTCTATCTTTCTGCCTGATCTCTTCTCAAGTACTAACACAATGGAAACAGTGGGTGATCTGTCAATGTGTTTGGTTTGTCAATGATGGTTTCGTATAAATATTGGGAGGGTAAGAAATAAAATTCACACAGTAAAATATGATTTCATCTGCCTTTTCTCTGCAGCTCCATGGCTCATGCTGCGGTGTGAAATTCTCATTTTACACACTTTGCAGGCGGAGCACATGAATTATGCATTGAGCAAGAAAAATCTCCTGCCTCCAGTCCTATATGCATTTACCCAGGTTCTGTCTCTATTACCAAGATGAATTGCAAATGGAGAAATGTTTGATGGAATAGCTCTCTTAACTTCTTTGTTTAGAATTCAGATTTTTATTTTTATAGTAGATCTTTTAAGTATGAAAATGTTTTGAACTTACTATGGATTTTTTAAAATGAAAAATGAAATATAATATAAGAGAAGAATGCCAAAGACATCATGAAGCTTTTTATAGCCTTGATTTGGAATGCAAGGCTTTTTCAATTTGGTAGAAATGACCATTATCTATTGCTAATGTTGTATTTCAGTCACTGGTTATTTGCTGTTTTCAGAAAGTCAATGAAATTCTGGTTTTTTGAGAGCCTTTTTCTTTCTGTTTTAGGCTTCTAATAACAGATTATGCCAATTTCACATGCAGCTCTGTCCTGTGTTGTATGTGACCTGATGTGTATTTAATACACATTGTTACACACTCTCAGCTGTGAAGTAGACAGTAAGGTATAGACTTGCCTCCAGCTTTGACTCTATCTTGATTTGATAGGTGTCTGATTTTTCAGGCGGGGAGGTTGCACTTCCGTAAAGACAGTCATGCGCCCTTGTAGCTTAGAGGAAGCTACGCCCGTTGTGCCCAGCATGGCATTTTGATAAGTCACATGGTGATAAGCTCTTTTTGTTACTTGTTCTTTCTTCACAGGAATGATATTCTAGTTGACATGGCATTTTCATTCTGAATCTATTTTTGTTACTTGCAACTTTTACATTTCAGCTTCAAAACTAACATTTCTTCTATTTTTTCCCAGTCCTAGAAATTGTGATTCATTTGAGGGGAGAGAGGAGAGAAGAGCTGACATTGTTTGTTTTGTTTTTAAATAACAGATGAAAATTAAAACCCTTCTAGATGATTTGGAGTTGTTAGTGGCAGGAGTAATTATTTTGAGAAAGAAAATCAGTGTTGATGTTTTTAGTTAGCATTTTAATGTGTGTTATTGTATGGTCCTTGAAATAATATTTCTGAGTGTTGGCATAAGGGAAAAAACAAGCAGAACTTAAAATCATTTTTAAAAATTTACCTAACATATAAGTTAATGCTTTGCTCTTGCTCATGTATGTGCACTGCTGTAAGAGCGCTAACCTGGCATGAGCTGTAAATGATGGGAAGGTACCTGTGGCTTTAGTGATGCCTTTCCGTGGTCAGAGGACTCCTTCAAAGATGTTTGTAATAGTTCACATTAATAATGAGCTATAAATTCCTTTGGTAGATGGTAAGTTATCTGAAGGCAGGGACGATGTCTCTTTTGCTGTATTACTTCCATTGCTTGGCACAGAGTCTGATACGTTTTAAATTATATACATGTCGGGGGCGAGCCCGGTGGTGCAGCGGTTAAGTGCGCACATTCCACTTTGGCAGCCCGGGGTTTGCCGGTTCGGATCCCGGGTGTGGACATGGCACCGCTTGGCAAGCCATGCTGTGGTAGGCGTCCCACATATAAAGTAGAGGAAGATGGGCACGGATGTTAGCCCAGGACCAGTCTTCCTCAGCAAAAAGAGGAGGATTGGTGGCAGATGTTAGCTCAGGGCTAATCTTCCTCAAAAAAAAAAATTAAATAAATAAGTAAATAAATTATATACATGTATCTTGAATGAACAAATGATTGAATAAACGAACAAAAACATTTTAGCAAAAACTTAAATTTTGACTTTTAATTTGGGCAGATTTAATATAAAGTATAGATTATAAAGACAAGTAACTTGACCCAAATACATCCATTTAACACCTTAATCTTTGTCATTCTTTAATTCTTTGTAATGTTACTGCTGCATTTATCTTTTTTTTTTTTAAGATTATGCATCTTTTCTGAATCTAACCAAACTATGAACACCTCAGGCTTAGAGACACTGTTTTCTAGTCCATCGTTACCCGTGTTTCAAAAATATCGTAGACTGAATAAGCGAATCTGAGGTGGAGGAAGCCCTAGTTATATGTAGATATATTTGAAATACTTATTCTCCCCAAAGGAAAACAGGAAAGAAAGTAAATGAATTCCTTTCAACCCTAAAGAAGAAGAGCCTGAAAGTGTCCTTTGTAGATTTTAATGAATGCCTTTGGCAACGGAAGTCTGATGCAGCCCAGTGTTGTAAGACGAAGTACCCAGTACAGTGCCTGTCACAAATGACCTTTTGGAAAGGCTAGTCTGCACAGCCTGGCAAAGCTTTGGAGCTGAGCATGTATTTGTGCATTTCTTTTTCTTAAACATGTTTAAAATTATTTTCAAGAATGCTTGTAAACTTTCTGCCAAAGAGTCATGTTACATTTTTATGTTAGCAAAAGTTGTCAGATTCTAAAATAATTATTTACCTTTAAATTTTCTTCTGAAGGGCCTTTATAATTTTTAAACACAAATATTTAAGAACAGCTAACAGTTTGCAAGGTGGAGAAGAAATGCTGGATGCTAATGGAAATAAAAATTTTGACTCAAAAAAAATTTCGTGTAACCCTACAGAAACTTAATTTGATTTTTTTTTTTCTTAGAAGACTAAGCGGAGGAGAAACTTTTAAAACATTAAGGACTACTTCATAGATTTTTTTAAATAGAACATGCAATAAATGAAGTATTTCTTATTTTATAGGAGAAAGAAAAAAAAGCAAAGCAAGATAGAAATCGTCTTGCTACGGATGCTTCCCTTCTAGATCTGGATGACTGTGAGTACTGGATGCAAGTGTTCTTGTTCCGTGTTTAGTAGGTTAGTTTTTATTTTTATAGTACTTTTCATTTATGCTTCAAAACATAGCGTCTATTATGAAAGATTTATAGACGAGTAAGGCAAGAAAATTTTAGAAGTCAGTTCTGTTGGCATCATTATCTTTCATCTGTTCAGTGTATCAGTTTTGTTTCACCTGAATAAATCTAATTGGTCAAACAAAAGTGCACCAATTTATTTTAAGAGCTTGCGTTACTAATTCATACTTGTTTCAGTAAAGAATCATCCATATCTCACAACTTGTACTTTGTTAAATGTTGGTTGTGGGGACTGAGACCTCTAACCTGAGAAGAGTGACTGGAGATACAGTGGACAGACCATCGTCCACCTGCCGCATTTTTGGTGGCAGCAGAAATGGGTACCAGGCTTTGGAGGCCAGTGTGGCTGTACCTATCAATATTTTAACTGCAAAAAATCCTTGTCCCAGCAACTCTACTTCTAAGAACTTGGAATCCTACAAATATACTTGCCCAAGTGTGCAGAGGTGTATATTCATCATCTCCCCTTAAATCCTCCCGCTCTGTGAGAGAGAGAGAGGAACTAACTTTGTTAGTAGGTGGGTTTTGCCCTAGAAGAAGAGTGGCAACAAGTGAGATTTCGTGAATATTAAACTGCTGTCATTGTTCAGTGTAATTTTTCCATGCTAGAGATGAGTGATATTTGTAGGTTGTCTCATTCTGTCGTAGAGCCGTTCTATTCCTCTTCCTTAGCTGGCCTATCTTCAGTAGTTGTGGCAAATTCTTAATATGCAGAAATTAAAATGTATAACAGAGAAATACTTAATATAGAGATAATATTAAAAATTAAGTTGAAGCCAAATTTGAATAATTTTTCACCTATTGGCAAAGATTTGAAAGTTTACATCATTTTTCAGCTATTGGCAAAAATTTTAAAGCAACATCCAGTATTGCTAAGGTTTGGAGAAACAGGTACCCTATGATAGGAATATAAATAGGTGTAGCTTTTTAGAGTCATTTTAGCAATATCTGTCAAAACTTAAATTGCACATACCTTTTGACCTAGCAATTCTTTTCTAGGAATTTATCCTACAGATAAACTAGCAAAATGAGATCTAATTCCATCCTTGTTTGAGATAAGACTTTTGAATTTAATGGCTTAATTTTACAGTTGAGATCCCCATTCCTAGGTATCTAAGACCTTAGATGATCTGACTTCTGCGTACCTCTTATCTACTCTGCTCCTTTGCATTTCTGATATGGACCAGGCTCGTTCTTGCCAAGGGTCTTTGTTCTGATGTTCTCTTCTAAGAACACTTCTAAGAACACTAAGAACGCTTCTTGCAGATCTTCTGATGGCAAGCTGCTGCTTATCATTCAAATCCCAGCTCAGAAGTCACCTTCACTTACACACCTGCACTAATGACTCTTGATTGTCTTCTTGTCATTTTTCACCATCTGAAATTATTTTAAATATGTTTATTATTTGTTTATTATCTGTCTCACCCAACAAAGATATTGAGTTCCATAAGAGAAGGATCCTTGTCTGTCTTGCTCACTGCTATTCTTAGTACATAGAAGTGCACCTGGTAGATAGTGGGCACCCAGTAAATATTTGTTGAATTAATAAGACAACGCATAGGCGTACAGTCATGCATCGCCCAGCAACAGGGATGTGTTCTGAGAAATGCATTGTTAGGTGATCTCTTCATTGTGCAAACATCACAGAGTGTATTGAAGGGGAACAAAATTTGCCACCCCAAAATGTGTCTCTTTAGCATGAGGATTATTTTAGGCTGATTATTTTTAAGAAACAAAAGACTCAGAAAGTTTCTCTTGTTGCCTCCGCCTTAACTGCCTAAAAGAATTCAGATAAAAAACCCTGTCTCAGGAAGTGAGCCATCACCTTAGCATCACGGGAACTAGGTGGTAGACAGGGAGGAACCGAGAAGAGCCTGTTTGTGGGCTCTCGTCTGTGTTCTTCTGTTTCTGTGGCCAAACACTTGTTTTCCAAGTGTTTGCTCCTTTTCACCTACCTATGAACTGCGTTCATTCCCTTTGAAGTCCCTGACTCTCCCTGCCCCCAACATCATCTTTTGTCTTTAGCTGAGGACAGTATTTAAGGTGAGGGCTTTGGCTCTTTTGATCAGCTTGGTTTTCCTGGGTTTCTCTTAAGTATACGTTACTAAACTTTTGTTTTTCTTCCGTTAATCTGCTTCATGTCAATTTAATTCTTAGAGCAGCCAGAAGAACCCAGAAGGGTAGAGGAAAATTTCTTCCTCCCCTACGGTACAGACACAAACCTAGATGGTATAACCTATTACACATCTAGGCTATGTGGTACTAGGCTCTACGGGACCCCCGTCATATATGCGGTCCCTTGTTGGCCGAAATGTCATGATGTGACACATGAGTGTGTATAGAAATTTCACTGTAGCATTATTTATTATAGCAAAATCCTGAAAACAAACAAAATGTCTACCAATATAGTAATACAATTGTTGACAAAAAGGAAGCAAATCTTTGTGTGCTGATTATGTAAGTATGTATCCAAAATATTGTAAGTAAAAAAAAAAGTACATATAAAACATGATTCCACTTGTGTAAAAAAGGAGTAAAAGAGGAATTATATCCTGCACCAAACACAAACATGATTATACATCGTCTGTTTCTGGGAGGCTGCGGAAGAAACTGTTAACAGTGCCTGGCTCCAGCCCCTTTGGGATGTAGGACTAAACTAGTAACAGAGGAGAGGAAAAGACTTTTATTTTATATTTTATGTCTTTCTGTCACAATGAATATTTTACATGTATATGTAAATTTTACAATTAAGAATTTAAAAGGTTTAAAATTGTAAAAGAATAGCAATCAAGCACATTTAAAAAGAAATTGAGTAAATGTTATGAGGTACTGAAGTGCACTAATTATATTTTCTCCTTATATTTGACTCTGTATTTCCTGGCAGCTAAGGAAAAAAGAGAAACCTGTAAAATGTTTTAATTTTTATTGTTTGATTCTTTTTAAAAGCATGTTTTTACATGTAGAAACAAAAGTTTTCTTAAATATTAAGTTTTAAGAATTTAAATGGAGGATTTTTTTTTAATTTTATGGGAAATTTCATCCCAATTTGCATTTATCTTAACTCAACATAGGATATATTTGTTTTAATATCCAAGAACTGTCTTTTAAAAAAGCTTTTATAGTCCTGCATTTGTCAGAAATAACGCTTGAAACTCTAAGTCTATTCGGCAGGTGTTTGTAGATTATCTGCTAAGTGCAAGGTACTGTGCTGGGTGCTAGAGCAGATAGAGCTAATTTAATCATTCTCTTCCAGAGACAAATCTAGTCTGGGACATAGACACCTGAACAAGTATTGTGTAAGAGATCTAGTAATAAAGGTGTAAAGTATGGAGGAAAAACAAAGGGAAGGCAAAAACCAGTTAAGAAGCTGCAGAAACCTTTTGGAAGAAGTATGATCTGAGCTTAGAGATAAAGCAGGTGGAGTGTTATGGGAGAAAAGCATTGATGATAATGGTTTTTAAAATACTGACTTCATCATGTGCTGCTCATTAGCCTACAATGGTTCTCCCGTGTCCATGGCAAGCAGTTTGTTGATCAAAAACTAAAAAGTCACTCTCCAGTGGCTTGAGTTCTCAGCTGTGAGAGTTAGATTAATTTTGAAGGAAGACACATCCTTATGTTTTATCTAAGAGGCACATGGTAATCCACAGAGGTTATTGGTTCAGTACACGCTGCATACCAGGAAAACTGCATGCTGAATTTCTCTCTGTCTTCATTCAGAAAACATTTGTGGAACACTCACTATGATCTGAGTAATCTGCTACATGCTAGAGATCCTAAATGGATACAGCATTGTCCCTATCCAAGGAACTCTCAGTGTGGTGGAAGAAACATATAAATTGGCAATTAGATTGCCACATTATAAATGAAATGAGAAAGAGATATGCACAGAGGCTGTTAGGTGTTGGGGTGCCTAATCCACCCAGCAGTGTCAGGCTGTCACGCCTGAGCTGAGGATGAGTGAGAATCAGCAAAGCAGTGGGAGGCAGGAGAAGAGAGTGAAGCAGTAAAGGCATGGAGGAGAAAACAGCTGCTACTACCCGGCATAGTCGTGGGCCCTCGCTAAGGAAGCAGTCCAGCTAGCGACGCTGGCAGTCAGCCGGCTCTGCTACACAGTAGTCCTGTGAGTCTGTAAAAGTGATTTGGGTCGCCTAGTTCCGTCTGTTGAGGGGATGTTATCAGAAGCACAGTCACTAGTCCTGGTATGGCCTTTAATCAATTAAACGAGTTAATTTCTTTGGGTCTTATTTTATTCATTTGTAAAATGAGAAAAAAAATGTGTGAAAAGTTTCCGCAGTTCCCTTAGATTATGAAATTGTATGACCGTATTTCATGGGGTCAGGTGATAATAGTTAGAAAATATTTATGCTAAGGGGACCGGCCCCATGGCCGAGTGGTTAAGTTCGTGTGCTCCACCCTGGCGGCCCGGGGTTTCGCCAGTTCAGATCCTGGGCGCGGACATGGCACCGCTCTCCAGGCCATGCTGAGGTGGCGTCCCACATGCCACAACTAAAACGTACTGGGGAGCTTTGGGGAGAAAAAGCAGGGAAAAGAAAAGATTAGCAACAGATGTTAGCTCAGGTGCCAATCTTTAAAAAAAAGAAAAGAAAATATTTATGCTGGGATAATATATGGTCTAATAATAGACTAGGCTTAGAGTAGCAATATGCATTCTTTTTTCCGGACATATTTTATATTTCTGGAAATTAAAATGTCTTTTAGTATACCATATGATCTTAATAGGGTGATTATATGGGGCTGACACGATGGCTCAGCGGTTAAGTTCACACATTCCGCTTCAGCGGCCTGGGGTTCACTGGTTCGAATCCTCGGTGCGGACATGGCACTGCTTGGCAAGCCATGCTGTGCAAGGCGTCCCACATAGAAAGTAGAGGAAGATGGGCACTGATGTTAGCTCAGGGCCAGTCTTCCTCAGCAAAAAGAGGAGGATTGGCAGCAGTTAGCTCAGGGCCAATTTTCCTCAAAAACAAAAAAAAAAGGATGATCATAAAGCAGCATAATCATTGTTGTTCTCTTAGAGGAAATGTAAACCTATGTAATTACACTATTAGTACAACTAACTGTCCTTTTATCAGCCAGCAGTATTCATGCTTCAGATAAGCCTTATGAGCTGTGATATCATACCGTTGAATAAATTGTCGTGGAGGCAGTAGAGTGGAGTGGCCACGGGTACAGTGGAGGAGCTGGGCTGTCTCAGTCTGAATTCTAGTTCTGTTACTTACTAGCTGTGTTACCTTGAGCAAGTTACTTAATCTCTCTTTGCTTAGTTACTTTACCTATAAAACTGAGATAATAGTAATACTTTTTATGAATATTAAGAGGACTAAATGAATTGATCAACGCAGAAGCGCTTGAAACTGCTTGGCACGTGATGAGCGTTATGTAAAGGTGAGCTGTGCTGGAGAGGGTGATAATGCCGATGCAGCAGCAGTGCAGTGCATTGAACAAGTTTTAAATAACTTCCTGTTAAACCATTATATATTAACAATTTTACAGCAAAATTTTGATCAGAAGAATAACTGTATAGTTATTTTATTAAATATACTTTAATAAGGAAAAAAGTGTTCTATACAAAGTTTTTAAAATAAAAAGAAGAAAATAAAGTGGATTTGAATCCAAATACCCTGGATTCACATTGTAACATATCAGTTCAGGTTCTTTTCATATGTAAATCTCCTCCCACAATTGGATCAAAATGAGGTCCTGTTTTATCCTTTGCTTCTTTCTCTTTTCGTCGTACACGTTCCTTTCCATGCCATACATATTCTTTCACAACTTCAGTTTTAATGACTGCGTGTATCCTTTATATTGTTGTAATAAATTCCATTTAACAGGTTTACTGTTGCTGGAAATTTAACTTGTTTCCATTTTTTTGCTGTCATAATCAGTGAAGCACTACGCGTCATCATAAGTATATTATTACATTATCTCCATGACTGTTTCCTTAAGATAAATTTCCAGGAGTAGATTTTCCAGGACAAAGGCTTTGAAGAATTCCCTTGTCTAAAATTGCCTTCCACAAAGCTTATACCAACTTACACAGGATTAGTATGAGACTGCTGGATTCTTTGTACCCTTGCTTATGCTGAATTTTGTATCTAAAAATTGTGTTTGCCAATTTGATAGGTGGGAATGGTATCTCATTTTAATTTGTGTGCCATCTTATTATTTTTTTTAAACTACGTAGAGTCATTTTGTTTCCTGCACGTTACTTAAATCCTTCAGCATAGTCAACTGGCCTCAGAATCCAATTTAGGGTAAACTTTCAGTGCTAGCTTTCATCTTGCCAGACCTGTAAACAGATGAGTAATCATTTCTGTAATAACAGAGCCTCTGTCTTCTGAAATGACATTAAAAGCCTGTCTTTGTCTTTTTAAGAGTCAGATTTGCCTGTGGTGTGAATTTTCCTCTCTTGTCTTTTGATGTCCTTTTCCTCTCTGTCTTTAGCCAAGCCATAGTTGAAATCAGAGGCTATTTCTTACTCAATTTTTATTCCTAATGTGGGTGTCTAATATTTTGGATGGGTGGATGGACAAACGAATGGACAAACATGGATTTAGAACCCACCAGAAAAGTTAGCTGTTGCATGGAAAGGCCACATATTTCGATGCAAGTTAAAAGGACCAGGTTCTAGTCCTACAGTGGTTCTGCCATTCACTTGTTTTATGACCTTGGCAGGCTTAATCTCCCCGTGCCTCAGTTGACAATGTTTTTAATACATTAAAACATTAATGTTTTAAAGATTAAAATTAAATAAAGATGCCCTTTCTGCCTTCTCACTGCCGTTATCTTACTTCAGCCCTTTTCACATCACGCCTGAACTATCGTAAATTCCTCCTCACTGCCCACCCCACTGCCCCTTCTTCAGGCTGTTCCGTATACTCCGATCTGCTCAGTCATCCTGCAGTACCATATATCATCTCATTGCTTTTTTGGGTAGATTTTTAACAGTTCCCTTTGATGTATAGGATTAATCCAACCCCCTCAGCTTTCCAGTGTCCCACCTCTTGGCCTTTCTTTACATTTTCTCATCCAGTCATTAACCAGCTGCTTGTTCCTTCCCTCCTAGGCAGATCCTCCCCGTACTTAAAACCTGGCTTCATTCCCTCCTATTCACGAAGGCTTCTCTTGCTCAGGGATTAGGTACCACAATACCTAACAGCATTCTGTGTCTGTATCCCCACTGATCGTTTTTTTCCAACTCCCTATGGCACTTGGTACAGTGTTTTTTGACATAGGTCTGGGGAAGCCTGAGGGTTGAAGCAGTGCTCAGGCACACTGAAGGGGGCTCCATCCCTCCTCCGCCCGTCTCCACTCTGCTTCTTCTGTTGGATCTGTTGAGATTTTATTTAAGATTTCCTTTGAAACTTTTCTTCTTTTGGCACTATCATTTGTGGACTGTATTTTTGCTTTTTTCCTCTTCAAGCGTGTGTATCTTTTGTTTTCAGTTAGGTTGTAAGTTACTTGAAGACAGGGACCTTATCTTGAACTTCTTTGTCTCTCCCTTGCTCTCTTGTTCAAGAAATATTTATTGCTAACTTTATGAATTAATATTTGTTCTGCCTAATTTATGGGATGTTGTAAGACTAAAATGAGAAAAAGATGCTTTGAAAAGTGATGTCAAATTGAGTAAATGTGACTACCTTTATAGTGCTATTTTGGAATGAGAATTTGTTGGAAGCTAAAACTTTTTCCACGTTTTAATTTATCTCATTCAACAAACAGCTGAGCAATTACTAAGCCCTAAAAATTCATACATTAAAGTCCACTCACACAGACTAGTAGAAATAAAAACATGTAAAGACACGAGTTTTGTGTTGTGAGAGAAGTGCCCTTACAGAAGCATGTGCAAGTGTGTCTGGAGCAAAGGGGGCGCGTCGAAACTGGGTGTAGGTGAGTCAGGGTGTGCTTTCCCTGTAAGTGGCATCGTAATGGAGAGCAAGGCAGAGAAGTCTGTCTAGGCAAAGGGAATAGAACATAAAAGACTCAAAGATAGGAAACAAGATCTTGGGAACTATTATTTAGTAGAGCTGGAACATAGGAGTGGCTGATGAAATTGAAGATAAGCTAGACCTGTGCTGCCCAATATGGTGGCACTGGCCACACATAGCTACTTAAGTTTACGTTAGTTAAAATTAAAAATGCCGTTCTTTAGTCATATGAGCCATATTTCAAGAGCACAGTAGGTGTGGGTACTAGTGGCCACCATGTTGGAGAGCACAGCTATAGAACATTTCCATCATCACACAAAGTTCTGTTGGGCAACGCTGAGCTACGTCATGGAGGACCTTGCACACTTAATTAAAGAGTTGGGCTCTTCTTGTAGGCAGTTGTGAGCCTTTAAAGAGTCTTAAGCAGGATAGTGACATCAGATTTGCATTTTTAAAAGAAGTTGTCACATTTTCAGGTGTCTGATCTCAAGTATATAGGAGTTTTAGAATCAGTTAAACATTTCTGTCTAGCACATAGTTTTTGCCGACAGAGTATAATTAAAAGGGAAGTAGGCAGCTTGGGACCCTGTAATTAGTGCAGTGGAGAATCAGATAGAGAAAGGATCTAAACACCCTTGTAAGTCTTCCGGCTCAACTGGAAAACTCTCTTGAAAGCCATTGTTATTCTTCATATTAGTCTGAAAAACCTGTCCCTTTAGCTTTTTGTTTTTGTGAAGTTACCGGTTGATGAATGTTTGTGATAATGTTATGTGATAAAAATTTTCAAAAACTATTACTCAAGACATTTATATCCTTATTTTGTTATAGGATTTGGCATTATGTTTTGAAAGCTAAGACTAATAACTGCCAAGACTTGATAATAACCTGACTAAATCAAGATGTTAAATAGAATTGTCATAGATTTATTAATCAAAGTAATTTAATTAGATTTACTAACAAAATAAAAATGTTGCTTTTCATAATATAAATTAAATTTCATGCATATTTGCTAATTTGGGCCCTTTCTTACAGTTAACCCAGTATCCACTCCAGTTGCACTTCCCACACCAGCTCTTTCTCCAAGCTTGATAGCTGATCTTGAAGGTTTAAACTTGTCAACTTCTTCATCAGTCATCAGTGTAAGTAATTTTCAAAATATATTAGCTCAGTTTTCAAATGATGCCATTGCATCTTTTTTATTAAAATGCAAATAATTGAAGGTTTTTTTTTTTTCCTTTTTCTCCCAAAGCCCCTCCGTACATAGTTGTGTATCTTTTTAGTTGTGGGTCCCTCTAATTGTGGCATATGGGATGACGCCTCAGCATAGCCTGATGAGTGGTGGCATGTCCACACCCAGGATTCAAACTGGCAAAACCCTGAGCTGCCAAAGCGGAGCGTGCAAACTTAACCACTCAGCCACAGTCCGGCCGTGAAGAAGATTCTTAGTGTTGCACAGTTTCTCCTCTAACAAGTCCAATTCAGATCTGACCTTTTAATTTTGTAAATATTTTTTTCATTTGCTCCACCCAAACGATTATCCTCTCAATTTACTTCTGCATGTTTCCTCTCAATTTACTTCTGCATGTTAGCCACATTTAATTATCATGTGTACATTTTTGTCTGGTACTGTTGTATGTCTCCAACATATAACATAAATTCTACCATAAAGAATTGTTGTCTACATTAACGGACTTTCATTGTCATAATCCTTCTATTCCTACCACGTGGTTCATTTACCATAGGCTACTAAAAAGACCTGTTTTCATTTAAAAACTCAGGATTGTTTTTCTCTTTGCATTATCTTCATACATTTATTTATATGCCTTGGTGTCTCTAAGAAAATTCTTTAATGTTATTTATAGGGTGTGACTGAAGTGAGGCAAGAGGCTTGCGTATCTAAAAACAGTGCCAAACCATCAGCCTGTCATAGTAGCTGAAGCTGCAATAATTTTTTCAGTGTTAGCACGTTGGATCCACTAACCTTTCACTCTAAATCAAGCATGCTGCCTAGGATGTATAATTTCTTGATATGCTTGACCTCCTGTTAATTTGTTGTCAGAAATCTGACAAACTAAGAGGCAGAACAGCAAGTTCTGATGGGAGCACAGGTAGCTTGAATGGATCTGGCGTAACAACGCTTCCCAGGGCTGGCTGGGCACTTCAGGGTACAGAATTGGTGATCTGAGCTGCCGGGGAACGTAGAGCTGCTTCTGCCCGAAGTGGGAAAGTGGAGGACCTAATTCCTGTAGATTGTTACAAAAAATTCCCCCTTCAAAGCACATGTGCTATCAGGGCCATGCAGTGAAATACTCACAAGAGCTCTCTGCGTTTCTGTTCAGCTTTGGTCAGCTCACTTAGAAAGTGTAGGTGAAAATTGTTAAGCTTATAATGTTTTTTTAAGCTGTAGAATATGTTTCTCTCTTAACTACTCAGAAATGAGTAAGAACTGTATTTGAGATTTTAGTCTGTCCTTCTTGTTGCTAAAAGGGGAAAAGATGTATTGAGAGAGATGAGGGAAAGCCCTGAAAACAAGCAGTTAAGTCTTTCATTTATTTAAGTAATAAATATTTATTGGGCATTTGTGGTAGGCTGTAAAGAGAAAGTGGTAATCAAAAAATCTATAGTGAAGCAGTTAGTCTTTGAGGGGAAAGGAGGCCCCTAAAAACTCGGGAGGCAGTCAGGTACTGAGAAATAACTTGGACTCTCATATCGGATGACCAGGGTGCAAACCCCTGCTTTGCCACCTTAGCTGTGTGACCTTGGGCAAATTGGTAAATAGCTTTCCTGCACCTCGGTTTCCTGTGAAGATAGAGTCTCACAGTATTGTTGTGAGATTAATGAGATAATAAATGTAAAGCTCTTAGAACAGTGACTTGCACATTGGCATCGCTCAGTAAATATTAACTAATCTTTTTGGAAGTGTTAATGATATGCGATAATGGGCCCTGGGTAGACTCTCATACTTTCTTAGCATAAGAAGAATGCAGTTGAGATTAGAAAAGCTTATAGCAAATTTTCTTTCATCACAAAGTAATTGAAAGACTTACCCTTTTCTACTAAGGAAAATATTGGGATGATCTCTTCAAAGGGAAACAAAAGCTCTCCATCCAAGGAGTGTGCAAAGAAAGGCCAGCCACGCAGTGCGGCTGAGGGTCGTCCCCACAGCTAATAGAATGATCGAAGAAGGAGCAGTGAAAAGAATGGCAACGGAAGGGAGTAGAACTTGACACAAAGAAAAAGTAGAACTTTGGGAAGTGGGACCTATAGAAATAACCTGAATATTCTGGTGCAGAATGGCCCAGCTCCTGATCTTACCTCCGGCCCTCAAAACAGTACTTTAAAAAGACAATGAATCAACCAAATTCTAAGTTTTCTCATATGTGTATGAATTTAGAAAGAAGTGGACTAAAGACATGGAGGAAAAATCAAAGGAAAACTCTCAACAATTACACCCTCATATAATGGTATGGGACCTCAACATATATAGGAGCCTTTTGGATCCTGAAATGAAATTCTGAGATAAGAGGACATCTGTAATTTTAAAATCAACATGTTGCCCAAATTGAATAGAAAGAAGAAATAAAATTAATTTACAATAAAGTAATAGTTATATGGATCTGTAAATGCTTGACCGGGGCTGCACTAGGAACGTGGTGAAGCAGTTACGCGATGCTGGCACTCACGTGCTGCCGCCGTGGATGTGGCAGCTCTGGATGCAGACGCGTACAGTGTGTTGTATTAGCAGCTCAGCTGCTGTGGGTTGTGGTGTTACCATCAGTAACATAATTTTCCAAAACATTGAACAATTTTTCTGGTAGTTGCACTCCTGGAAAATTGAGTATATTAAAACCTTGCCCCCAAAAATGCTTTGTACTTATATGTAGTGTTGTAGGATCAGGTAATTTTAAACAAGCTTTTGCCTCATGAATGTCCAAGACATTTGAAAGTTGTGAGGAATGTGGTGTAAGCTCTATTGTGTGGATCTGCCCTGTTCATTGCAGGGCAGCTAGCGTTCCTGGCCTTCACCCCTTAAAGCTAGTAGCATCCTTTACTGTTCCTTCCTCCAGTCATGTGCCAGCCTCAAACCTTCAGAGCAGTATAGGTAGCAGGTAAAGGTACAGCTCTTCGGCCAGACTGCCTGCGTGCAAAGCAGAGCTCTGCCACTTTGCAGAATCAGCGACCTTGGGCAAGTCAGTTTACCTCTGGGTGCCTCGAAGTTTTTCATCTGTAAAATGAAGATGATAATGCTACCTATCTCATAGGGTGGTTGTTATATGAAATGCTTATAATAACACCTGATACACATTAAGCACAAAGTAGTTCCTGTTATTATTTTTTATTACATTATTATTACAACTTTGTAAAGGAAGGAAAGTATGACCCAAGAAAATTGTTATCTTTCTTTATAAAGGCTACAGATGGGGCCAGCCCAGTGGTGTAGTGGTTAAGTTCTCACACTCTGCTTTGGTGATCTGGCGTTCACAGGTTTGGATCCCCAGTGCAGACCTACGGGCCACTCACCAAGCCACGCTGCAGCAGCACCCACATGTGAAATAGAGGAAGTTGGCACAGATGTTAGCTCAGCAGCAATCTTCCTCACCAAAGACAAAAATGGCTACACATAGACATTCTTAAGCATGAAAATAACTGTCAGTCCTTCTTGAAAGAAAAAAAGAGGGGCCGGCCTGGTGGCGCAGCAGTTAAGTGCACACGTTCCACTCCACCGGCCCGGGGTTCTCAGGTTCCAGGTCCGGACATGGCACCGCTTGGCAAGCCATGCTGTGGTAGGCGTCCCACGTATAAAGTGGAGGAAGATGGGCACAGATGTGAGCTCAGGCCAGTCTTCCTCAGCAAAAAGAAGAGGATTGGCAGCAGTTTGCTCAGGGCTAATCTTCCTGGGGAAAAAAAAAGAAGAAAAGAGGGTGGGGACACTGCTTATTCTCGAAACTAATTAAAGGATGATTCAAACTAATAGAATCAATATCAATGGAATTGATAAGTGACAAATAAAAAAAATATAAGAAACTAAAACTAGTAGGTGAGGAGAGAAAAGGATGAGGAAATGCCTTTTAATCATTTCATTTCTTCATAGTAGGAAATGAATCAATAAATGCAAAACTGAAACAGCTTTTGTTTTTGTTTTTTAATGAGACTCAAACTTCTAATTGGTTTATATATGCTCAAAGAACATTTATCTGAAGTTTTGGAGGTTTGTTTTTTGTTTTAGTTTTATTTTAGTTTCTTTTTCTTCAATTCAATTAAAGTAAGATTATAATCCCATCTATGGGATAATTTGTCTGTTTCTCTGTATGTCTGTCTATCCGTGCACGTTTACAGAGATGTTAATCCCAGGTAATATTAGTTCCTCTAAGTGATATGATTTGGGGATGACTTGTTGCTTTCTTTTTGGTACTTTTCTATAATGTTTAAGTGTTTTATAATGAATACTAATTGACTTTTTGAAACAATAAAATTATTACTATAAAAATGGGTGGAAGATACAAAACAGGCAAAATTAATTTATGATATTAGATGTCAGAATGGTGATTAGCCTTAGGAGAGTTAGTAATTGAAAGGGAACACAATGGCAGCTTCTGGGGTGCTGATCATGTTCTGTGTTTTGATCTAGATGCTGATATGTGAATGTGTTCAGTTTATGAAAAAAATCATTGAGCTTCGCACTTAAGATATGTTTATTTTTCTGTATGTATATTGTACTTCAATAAAACATTTTTAAAAGTGGACAAAAGATCCATAAAAACATTCATAAAAGAGGAAATATAGATAATAGATACATGAATAATGTTCAGTGGTAGTAATGAATAAATGCAAATTTAAAGAACCATTTTGCCTGTGACACTGGCAGAAATTACAAAAACCAATATCCATTATTGGTGAGGGATGCAAGAAGAAAGCATTATACACTGCTCCACTGATGGAAGTATAAAGTGGTACATCATTCTGAATGGTAATTTGGCCTTCTATATAGACATTGAAATATACATACTCTTTGGCCCAGTAATCTCATGTCTAGATTTTTCTTCTAACAAAATAATTAAAAATTCAAAAATTTATGTGCATGGTTGTTTATAACCTCAGTGTCTAGTAATAGGAGAATAATGGTTACATAAAGTATGGC